ACTTAATAGGTATTGGTAAGTGCTGGGGAGAAAAGCTTGTTTCTGAGAGTGCCAGTAATGCCCTGATATGCGCAAAGTGTTGCATAGAAAAGGAGTTGGATTATACCTCGCCCTTCACTCAGTCTCAGAGCAGTTTACAATCTCCTTTCCTTTCCCCACAACAGGCACCCTGTGAGATAGGTGGGGCCGAGAGAGCTCTGAAAGAACTGCTCTTGAGAGAACAGCTCTGAGAGAACTTTGACTGACCCAAGGTCACCCTGCTGGCTGCATTTGGAGGAGTTGGGAATCAAGCCCAGTTCTCGAGATTAGACTCTGCTGCTCTTAACAACTACACCAAACTGGTCATGTGCAAGATCAGAACTTAACATCGTGGTTTGAAAAATCTGCTTTTCACCCTTCCATCTTTTTAAATTTTGTAGTATACAGTCTAATGAAGAGTTCTGGTGAGCTTGAAAGCTTGTACAATGTACAGTGTCAATTTGGTTGGCCCAAACAAAAGGTATTACACAGATTTTGCTCTTGTTTTTGGACCAGTATGGCTGTACAATTTTTAGGCCATGCTTGGTGCAAAAAGATCTCAAGCTGAACCGAAGGCTGCCAGAACCCAAGGCTCCCATACTTATTTTTTTTAAAAGGTCCAGCCTAATTTGGAATTTGATAAACGCTTACTTGTTTCTCTGTAACTTTTAGTTCGTCTTAATAAGTGTATTATCCCACTACAATTTTCAGGTTTTCTAATGGACCAACAAGGCAACTTGCAATTTTGAAAACAGAGTTGCTCTTGGATTTAAATTAATTTATTCTAGGTAAGATCTTTATTCCATAATCACCCAAGCACAACTCCAGCATTATTCCCACTCATGACAAGGGGGCATGTTCAAAATTAATTACAGCTTACTGAATTAGTCCCATTTATATTGCAGAATGACTTGAGATGCTGAAATACCAGGCTCCCTTACCACCACCCACCTTAAAGGTACAGAAAATATTGAGGGAAGAAGAACTTGGGAGGAATCAGTAAGTAAATATATACCAAGTTCTCTGTTCACTTTAATAGTTCACATAAAATCATTGCCATACACCACATAAGACATTTTAACATTGAACATGAAATAAGTAGCATATCTTTGGTTAGGAATTTCATTTCTTCTTCCCTTGCTGCCCATACATTTTAAAAAAAAATGACAAGTGATCAGAACCCTCCACTTACTTGTCAGTGATCAAATTTACCCTGATTGTGTATGTCCGAAGGCTTTTTAAAAAACATATGTATAAAATGCAAGCAAAAATACTACGCTGGGCTTACTGACTATAGCCCTGTTATGATGCAAGCTTAGAATCATTTGTTCCTTTACATATTTGCATAACAAGCGGTATGACATGTTAGAGATATTTTAGAAAAATTACTACATGCAGATACAAGATGACTTCTGTTGTTCTTTATCATACACTTGACTATAACTGCTTATCCATTTATTTATTATTTCAATTTATATCCTGCCCTTCCCGCTAATGGGCTCAGGGTAGCTTACAGCCTGCTTTACGGTAGCCAAGAATGGTTGCTGTATGGAGGGGGTTTGGCAACAGTGATGGTGTTTGCATCCTGGGAACTCTGCTTAGGTGAAAAGAAACATGAAAAACTTTTACCAAGTAAATATTTGAATGCCTTGTAACCCTAAACCATCCTAAGGCCATTCTATACTCTGAATGTCTCCAATACCCAATCATTTTCAAATGCACATGAGAATATTCTGTAAGTTTAAGTCTATGCTTCTGTTTTATCTCCCAGAAGGCTCAGACCTCAGGAGTTCACATGACTGAGCACTTGCCTTTCAGTTTATCTTTCTTGCGCTGCTGTTTGGATTTCTTACCATCTACCTGAAGACTTACACTTCTTCTCTTTTCCAAATTCAAGAGCTCTTGGAAAAGCTCCTGAACATTGTAGTTCATTTTTGCCGATGTCTCCATGAAGGAACACTTCCATTTGCTGGCAAGGACCTCACCTTCACTGGCATCCACCTCTCTCTGGGTATCATCGCTCTTGTTTCCGACTAACATGATAGGAACCTTCTGGATATCTCCTTTGATCTGACAGATCTGCTCATAGATCTGCTCCAGTTCTTCCAGCGACTGCCTGCTGGTGACTGAGTACACCAACATGAACGCATGGCCTTTAGATAGGGAGAGTCTTTGCATGGCGGGGAATTGGTGGCTTCCAGTGGTGTCTGTGATCTGAAGGGTGCAGATATTCTTATCACAGCTGATCACCTGGCGGTAAGTGTCTTCAACAGTTGGGATATATGTTTCTCTGAAAGTTCCCCTTACAAAACGAAGAACCAAAGAACTTTTACCGACACCTGCTGCGCCAAACACAACCACTCTATAGTCATTACTTTGTTCTGGCATCCTGCTTATTCAGTTGGGCACCAAGACAAAGTTCTTTGTGCTTACATACCCCTGAGGGAAACAGGCCTGTCAAGGAAAAAGAGTTCATGGTAACTTAGATATAAAACAAGAGGTTACAATATGTAAACAAACATTTAAAATCTCTCCCTCCCAAATTTAAGCATGGCTCAAGTGGTTAAGATGCTGAACTGCAGGCTGTGGAAGGTCGGTAGTTCAGCAGTTCAAGACCTGAGTTGCCGCATGACAGAGTGAGCTCCCGTCTCTAGTTCCAGCTCCTGCCAACCTAGCAGTTCGAAAGCAAGAAATTGCAAGTAGATAAATAGGTACCACTTCGGTGGGAAGGTAACAGCATTCCGTGCGCCTTGGTGTTTAGTCATGCTGGCCACATGACCACGGAAACGTCTTCGGTCAGCGCTGGCTCTTCGGCTTTGAAACGGAGATGAGCACCGCAACCCTAGAGTCGGATTCAACTGGCTTTCGAGCAAGGGAACCTTTACCTTAAGTCAGACTTATGGTTTCACACTTCGTAGGCAACAGTTGTTTTCAAAGTGAAATATTTAGTCTCCAGCAGCCACAAAGCTCTTCCATCAGGAGCAATGAGATTATAATTGCCCATAAGAGCTGAGATCAGCCAGCCCACTTCATTAATGCTCTTCTGTCCCCAAGCAACAGAGCATCCTGCAGCTGGTGCAAATGCTTGTTGGTGCCTGTACAAAGAGGCTGCTGAGGATCATCCCCCCCACAAATAAACCATTTTCATTTTCTGCCTTTGCCATTTGAGGCAGAGAGGTGGGCTGGCTGCTAATTCCCACAGTTTATAGCTTCACGCCCCTTCCCTGATTTATGAGCCTGTCCATGGTGGATTTCAAGAAGCAACAGGCACAGCAGACTGGCTACATTATGCAGAATGATAAATGCAAACGAATACATCCAAGCCCAGTGTGTCACCCGCTGGCATAATCACAGCTGTCAGCTGGCAGGCAAAGGAGTCAGCACTGCAAACAGAGCTGCCTTGCAATAAAGCACATCTGTCCTTCTTTAGGAGAGAAAAGATTGGCACATGTATTAATGTTGTACTGTTGCGATCACTGACTTGGGAAACCATGACTTTTTAAAATTATTATTTCTTCCTTGTTCCTCTACACCAGCTCTCCATATTTTACTGCCCATAGAAGAATCACGGTCAGCAATGTCTCTATGGGCTTCTGTTCTCCCATGCTACAAAATATTGGAGTACTCTGGACACATAAAGCAGTCTGGAATTTAAGGTGACTAAAACTAAGAATCTGTCCTAGAAACCATTATGAGGAATGCTGGAGCCATCTGAATCATGTGTAACAACAGTTTCTCCATGCAAGAATCCCCTTGCAGTAGCCACCTGTAGGCCAGTATTCCTAGCATCTCACAAACCACCTTTAGAGAGCAATCCTAATCAGAGTAAACGTCATTAACTCCATGAGACTTCTAAGAAAGCTCAAAGACATGGGCTGCATGTACCCCAGCGCAACAGAGTAAGCAGACATTGCATATGGATTGAATAGTCTCTCTTCAAATATGTTTTTAAAGACACACAGGTGAGCTCCAGCTTTCATCCTACCCTAAGGATGAAACTTGCTGGGGAGGCAATATTGGCTATATTTTTAATAAAGAAAATAGCATCCAGCTGCTGCTAGGGCTGGAAAAATATTCCAGGTCCCTAATGTCAGGATGTTTAGGCAACCTGAGATTTTTCCAGTCCTGATACTGTTAGCTAAACACTAATCAAAACACAGAAATACCTCCTACACAGAAGTACATCCTACACAAACTGTGAGGCCTACATGGTAAGTAATTTTAGGGGAAACTCTTACTAATATTAAGAAAGCAGTGTTCCCTAACTGGAGTACTACTTTCCAGACATTATTAAAATAGTTTTAATAGTGAATTTATTAGCTTTACTGTTACTCCAGTCACTTCAAAGGTCTTTGTTTTTGTGCTAAGACACAGTTAAATCTAAAATCTAGCTACTAGACTATGGTTGAACCTGTTGGCACTTGTTGAATTTTGAGAACAGGTGGGGGGCACCTCAACCAAAAATGGCTGCCATGGGGTCTACGTCAATTACAGAACAGTACGACATTCCAAAAATGGGGGTTCTTTGCAGTCACCCAAATGATTCACCCTGGGCACTTCAGAAGTACCTAATACTTCAGTGAAGTGGATGAGAGTCAAGATTGGCTCCTCGTTTGGGGGAAGAAGCAAGTAGGCCACCAGGAAGCATCAGTAGGTACTGTGTTGAGGATTACTGCACTGGGTTATTGGGGGGGAGCGGATCAATTACAGCATTAACAAAAGTAGAAATATAGCCAAAAATCCTAGACTATTTACTTATTTATTTTTATTAAATTTATACCCCGCCCTACCCAAAAAAATGGGCTCAAGGCAGCTCACAACATAAAATCAACAAGCAATAAAAACAGTAAAAGAATAAGTAGCAATAGCAGATCAACCAAACCATTATGAAATAATTACCCTAAGTAGAAGAGGAGGAGGAGATTGGATTTATACCCCGCCCTTCACTACCCAAAGGTGTCTCAGAGCGGCTTACAAACTCCTTTCCCTTCCCCTCCTCTCAACAGACACCCTGTGAGGTAGGTGGGGCTGAGAGAGCTCTTGACAGAAACTGCTCTTTTTCGAGAACAGCTCTTATTAGAACTACGGCTTGCGCAAGGTTATCCAGCCAGGTGCAAGTGGAGGAGTGGGGAATCAAACCCGGTTCTCCCGGATTAGAGTCCGTGTACTTAACCACTACACCTAACTGGCTCGCTAAGAAATGGTATAGGACACTGGAACGTGGTCATAAACAGAGTTGTGGACAGGAGGGGGGGTCAAAATGGATTGAATGCCCGCTGCCTCCCCTACCCCAATTGCAAACCAGTTTATCCAGATGTCATGGAGAGCAGCTGAAATGTTTGGGAAAGGGTTTATACTTGGAATAGAAGAAGAAGAAGAAGAGATTGGATTTATACCCCGCCCTTCACTACCCACAGGCGTCTCAGAGCGGCTTACAAACTCCTTTCCCTTCCCCACAACAGACAACCTGTGAAGTAGGTGGGGCTGAGAGAGCTCTTGACAGAAACTGCTCTTTTTCAAGGACAGCTCTTATCAGAGCTATGGCTTGCCCAAGGTCATCCAGCCAGGTGCAAGTGGAGGAGTGGGGAATCAAACCCGGTTCTCCCAGATTAGAGACCACGCACTCAACCACTACACCAAACTGGCTGTTTGATCCTGTTGCTAGGATACATGAGAAAACACTTTGAAAAGTAGTCATGCTTGTAGTATTGGGAATGAAATACAAGTATAGACCAACTAATGCTTTCCCAGCAGGGTTCTTTTGCCATGAGCAACTGCATGGCAAGAGCAGTTCAGCCAATGAAGCTTCTCCTACCATGTGGATGCTGGAAGGGCAAACTTCACCTGCTGCCGTTCCTCCTCATCATTCAATTGTATCAAGGCCCAAGAGCTCTGCCAAAAAGAAATGAACTGGAGCCCATATTTTTATCCTACCCCTGAGCACAAAAGCAATTTCTAGTGTCACATTGCCCCAAGTATTTCCTTCTTGCAGCTTCCTCTTCCAGCTTTGGCAAAATCCAGTGGGGAAAAGATACAGAATCTGGACTTGTAAAACAAAGCTTGATTTTGGGAAAATGTATTGGGTCACATATGCTTTCAAACCTCTCACCATGTTCTCCTGTTGAAAACGGGAAAAAAAGTTGCAAATCCATTTGCACATGAAACAGCCCATCCTAATGGAAGAGTATGTTTAATTGACACAAACTGGAAGCAACTATATTTAGAGCAGGGATTTTAAAATGCTTTTTAAGAAACAAGCACGCAGCTAGTAAAGGGGGCCAGTAATCGACTTCAACCGCCTTTGCTGAGGTAGGAGACTCTGTACCCCTCTGCCCCTGGCTACTACGAGGAGCTGCGGGATCCGGAATGCTTCATTCACATCTCTGGATGCCAAAGCCGCAGTCAATAAGTGCTCCATAATTCCTGCTCCTTGTTCAGCCACACGGGCCTTCCAACAGGGAGAGCCAGCCGCCAAGTCCAGCAGCCCACCCCCCGACAAGCCCGGTGTCAAATCTCCTAATGGGAACCCGGCGTTGTGTCTCGGGCCCCAAACGTCGCCCTGGCCCGCCTCTCCGAGGGTGAAGGGCACTTACCTCGACCGCCGGCTCTTCCAGCCGCTTGGGAGGCAACGCGCACACGGTGCTGCCTGCCGGGCGTGACCAACGACGGCACTCCCTGGAAATGTGCTCCTCCGAGTCCCTGCTGGGCAGGGAGGCACCATCGCACCGAGAGACTGGGCGGCCCCGCCTTCGCTCGGGCCCGCTCCTCGCCGCCGCCTGCCGCAGAGGTGGTGAAGAAGCTCCGGCTGCCCATCCGCGACTCATTCCGTTTCTCCGAGGAGGGCAACATCCCAGCTGTGCAGTTGGTCCAGAATCATAGCAGCGTCTCCAGGAGCCGACCTGCGGGGAGGAGGGAGGGGGGAGCTCAGACAGGGTGATAGGGGAGCCCCCACCCCCCCCCCCGCGTTCTGTCTCTCAAGATCTTGAGCCTAATTGTGCACGAGCTGACGCCGTCTTGAGGAAAACAAAAAACAGTCCCTGGTTGAGATTTTAGAGATGGTCACCAGTTTCTGTAGAGACATGAAACTACTAATACAACATCTCACGGTAGCATCCTGCTATCCCCGTGCGTAGGCAGGCTACATCTGTTGAATGTCAGCCTTCACATGCAGGTATGAAAGGGCAACGCCGCTGTCGAGGGGGGGGGGGATTGGCAGCCTTGGGGGTTGAAAACCTTGTCCTTAATTTGCAACTATTTGTAATTTTTAAAGCAGTTTATATATACAGTTTTAAAATATCTCCATGCTGCTAAAAGAAAAGAAAAACACTTGCAAGCACAACTGCAATTGAAAGTCATCAAAGAGGAGTATACTAATGCATTCTATAGCAAACACAATTTTTTAAAAACCTGTAATTCATAGTCTCCTTATACTGCATAGGCTTCAGTACATAGATATTTTCATCAACTAATCCCATCTGGTTACATGATTCATCCTACTGCAAACCAATGACTTTCATCAGCAGGTCCCTTCCCC